TTTTGTTGACCTTTGTCCATGGAAGGTCCCTGCAAAATTTCATTGAAATTGGTTCAGGGGTTTTGGAGAAGAAGTCGAAAATGTAAATTGTTTACGGACGCACGACGGACGACGGACGACGGACGACGGACGACGACGGACAAAAGGCGATCGCAATAGGTCACTTGAGACTTTGTCTCAGGTGACCTAAAAATTGAAGAAAAAAATACACTTGGTATATGCGATAGAATCGGAGACATCTATCAGAAAACAAGGTTCACAAAGACGACACCAAATGCCTTTCGACCCCTACTAACTAATAATTCTCACTCTGCACCATAAGGTTCTGTAGAAGAATCCAGTTTTAGGAGAGGTTGATAGTAGTCGTAGACATGATGCTACACCATCATATTAGGTCCCAGGCACTTTGTGAAAGGTAAGTTAAAAAGAAAAGGACATTTTTGGAAAAACCTTCATAGGGTACCTAAAACTTGCGTGGAGAATACTGACAAGTAGTTACTATGTGTGGGAGAACTAGGAAATAATTTAACAGATAGGTTATTGTATATTTATACCTGCTACAATAGTGGCATCTGATTGGTCAGATCCTGGACTGTTTTCCTCCTCATCAGCCTCCTCTATCTCGGGCTGCTTGCGTAGAGTTTTCGTGCCTCTGCTGTCAGATCTATATTCAGTGGCCATGGTCATGGAGGTGGGCTGAATAAGAGAGGAGACAACTTATAAACACAATAGTGAATGAAAAGGCACAGAAATTAAACAAGACATTTTTATAGTGATGTAAAAAATGTACAAGGTGATAATGACCTAATTATGGTATGTGTAAAACTGTGGAAATTGTAAAAGTCAAATCTTCCATAGTGTTCAAAGAGAGGGAAAGAAACAGGTAACCTTGACTATGTTATGGTGCACAACACACCTTCATCATTAGATGTTAAAGCACAGGATGTCTGGTAGATATACCCCCACTCCCCACAAAAATGGTGTAATGTGACCTTTGACCTTTTCACATTAACTGATGACCACCAAAATTTAATCAAGTGTAGAACTTGACATCACAAATGAGGATATCAATAAATGTTAAATCTGTTGAGGGGATCTCTTGAGATATCTTGTACACAAGTTATTAAGGGTGCACGAATACACATATTGACAAAGATATTACTAAATAATCCCCTCCACCCAGTCGGGAGTATAATAGTGGCATGGAATAAATTTCCTTTATTATTCAGTGAAGATGAAAATTCAAGTCACTATGACCTTGTTATGATGTGGGACAAACCTGCACCTCTAGATGTAACAGCACACAAAGTTAAGTAAAGCTGTTAGAATGGAGGACATGGCTTCCACAACAGAATCTTTAAATTTCATGAATCTGCACAAGAGGTGAAGAAACCTTGGCCCAGAAAACAAATACTGTTTGTGGAGCAAAAAATATAGGTCACTGAAACCTAGGTTTAGTGAGTGTCCCAAAACATTCACCTAAACAACTGACCCAAAACATTCACCTAAACAACTGTCCCAAAACATTCACCTAAACAAATGTCCTAAAAATATTCACCTAAATAACTGTCCTAAAAATATTCACCTAAACAACTGTCCCAAAACATTCACCTAAATAACTGTCCTAAAAATATTCACCTAAACAACTGTCCCAAAACATTCACCTAAACAACTGTCCCAAAACATTCACCTAAACAACTGTCCCAAAACATTCACCTAAACTGTCCCAAAATATTCACCTAAATAACTGTCCTAAAACATTCACCTAAACAACTGTCCCAAAACATTCACCTAAACAACTGTCCCAAAACATTCACCTAAACAACTGTCCCAAAACATTCACCTAAACAACTGTCCCAAAACATTCACCTAAACAACTGTCCCAAAACATTCACCTAAACAACTGTCCCAAAACATTCACCTAAACAACTGTCCCAAAACATTCACCTAAACAACTGTCCCAAAACATTCACCTAAACAACTGTCCCAAAACATTCACCTAAACAACTGTCCCAAAACATTCACCTAAACAACTGTCCCAAAACATTCACCTAAACAACTGTCCCAAAACATTCACCTAAACAACTGTCCCAAAACATTCACCTAAACAACTGTCCCAAAACATTCACCTAAACAACTGTCCCAAAACATTCACCTAAACAACTGTCCCAAAACATTCACCTAAACAACTGTCCCAAAACATTCACCTAAACAACTGTCCCAAAACATTCACCTAAACAACTGTCCCAAAACATTCACCTAAACAACTGTCCCAAAACATTCACCTAAACAACTGTCCCAAAACATTCACCTAAACAACTGTCCCAAAACATTCACCTAAACAACTGTCCCAAAACATTCACCTAAACAACTGTCCCAAAACAGTCACCTAAACAGCTGTCCCAAAACATTCACCTAAACAGCTGTCCCAAAACATTCACCTAAACAACTGTCCTAAAACATTCACCTAAACAACTGTCCCAAAAACAACTGTCCCAAAACATTCACCTAAACAACTGTCCCAAAACATTCACCTAAACAACTGTCCCAAAACAATTATGGATGGACAAACACATGTGCCAAGAACATGAATACTGTTATTCTATATGAATTACCCAGAACCCATTTTCTCAAGCAGGGGCATAAAAACTGTGGAGGACCTCAATATTTGAAAGATTTATTTCCTTTATCTATGATCACATACTTAGGATCGAACTGATCAAACATTAGTACTAACACTGAATGTACCTTCAATGACAGGCTACCATGCATGAGTGTGGTCCTGTATAGACAATAAGATACCATCAGACAAGCTATACCAATGTACACACTACCAATATATAGGCGATGGACCAGACCACAGCTATGTATTGTCAACATGGACCTCCTTTTACCAGTGTATCGGTTCAGAAATGGAAGAATCACAACAACTTGCCATTTGTTCCAGTAAATTGAATGGTGCGGTGCGGTGATGTAACACATTTTTATCCCTTTTCATCCACTAATCTCAGTTGTGTAGTACAGACAAGGCATTTGCCGCTCGCCGTGGTGATATGACGTCAATGGAGGCGTGCGGCTATTACACGGAGATGTTTATAGTAGTCAGGCTTGGCAGCCTCCGTATCTCCTAGAGTTAATACAGCATCATTATGCTGCTGTGTTTATTTTGCCACTATTTACATCGTGACAAGCCAAAATATAGTATATAATTGACGGAGACAAAACAATGTCACCTCCCCCACAATGTAACATGATTGGTATACGGACCAAATATCTTATGGAACTGAATGACATGTACACACATCAGACTCCGGAACCTACCTACATGTACACACCAACTCTCCAGCCTTCACACCAAGGCAACAAGTGCAAAAATCAAACCAACAGAAAACATTGGCGACAGATCCTGACTGCCCCCTATAATCCTTGATCAGAAAATTCAAATGTCTCAATAAGGGCAGCTACGACAGTGTGATAAACGATGATTCTATACTGTTTGATAAATAACCATAAACATAAACAAAATACTACTGCCATGAACAAAAACCATTAACAACTCTCATACATATTAAATACATTACTGTCTTAAGCACACAACTATTGATGATTAGAACAGACTTATACCAAATGATCAATCAAAACTATCATTGAGACCGATGGCTTTAGGGCTATTGGAACTGTAGAGGATATTGGCTGTGTGTAAACCAGCAGTAATGATTGAAAACAGTTTAATGGAAGCTGGAAACGTCTAGGATAAAAACTACAACAACAAGAAAAGTCCTAGGAGATAATAAGATTTGGTGTGTAAGTAGGTGGCAGCAGGCTGTAGGGCAGCAGCTGGTACACCCCCTCACTCCAATCACCACCCCCACATGTGCGTCGCCACATTACTTCCCATTATATCCAGCGAGCTCTTACGTCAATGCCCTCCTACGTATCCATCACGTATACACCAGTATACCCCAAATAATCAATTTGCATTTTACTTGTGAATGGAGATTTCATCCTCTGGTGCCAAGACAGAAGCACTGTGTACAGGGCAGACTCCAACAAATATGGTCAGGCTATACAACAACAAATCTATGTGCAGCAAAAAATAGTTTTCCTGGGATGTGATTTACTGATCTCATAATTGACAATTTTTCTCTAAATGTCATCAAAACTTGTTATTCTCTGTATATATATACAAGGCTAGCTTCTACACTCATCTGTCTTCAATAGAAATCTGTCTGAACTGTTGATACCACTATTTACTGTCTACACTGAACATCTGTCTATACTGACATCTGTCTATACTGATATCTGTCTACACTGACATCTGTCTATACTGGACATCTGTCTACACTGACATATGTCTACACTGGACATCTGTTTACTGAACATCTGTCTATACTGATATATGTCTACACTGAACATCTGTCTGCACTGATATCTGTCTACACTGAACATGTCTACACTGACATCTGTCTACACTGACATCTGTCTATACTTATACCTGTCTACAATGGCCATGTCTACACTTCACTAGTTGTCCACTCTGAGCAGCTGTCTACATTGAACAATCCATCACCTAGACACCAGATGGACTATGCAGTTATCAATGATCTGATAGTTATTTAGATTTAGCTACCCTACATATATACACCGTGTTCAATTCTCAGTATCAACCTTCTGCAATTTTGTTTCGCGAACAAATTCAAAGTATCCCATACAACACTATTTTAGATAGTCAATACTTAACGCAAATCTCTATCAACAGGGTAAGGAATTACTTTAACCCCTTTTTCAGGACTGAATGTAAGGAAACATTTAAACATCACAACTAAAAGACCTATTCTGTAGATAGACGAATTGTGAAAAAATGACTTTCGTCATTAAAGAGACCAAAAGTACCAAATTGTTAACAGATATACACAGGTTGATTTGACCCACCCTACCTCAGTCAACTGTGTACTGACTGCCCGCCTCATCCAACAGGTACGTTACAGGTAACACCGATTCCAGACACAAATTAAATGCATTATGTACGAATACAACTTAATTAGCCCAAATCATACTCCATTTTAGCCGAATCAATAACACATTAACTTTGCTGGATGAAAGTGAACATTGGTCTAACAAACATTACAGGGTAGGTCATGCCGAGTGGCACTGACATTACCAGTAAATACACCCTGTAATCAGCCAGATTTTAGATCAGAACAACCTGACCCCTTTAGCTATTGTGAAAAATGCAACTTGGACAAAAAATGTTGTCTTATCTTTTGTGTTGGTGATTGAATCCTGGGTTTCCACAGTTGGGTATTCTAGATAAAGAATCATTAAGTGGGCAACGAGGATATTAACATCGCTGGTGTTTGTCCTAATGAACAAATTATGCTAATATGACACACATTCACGTATCTTTATAGAAAATCACACGAAAATGTGGGCCAATGGTATATACAGACAGGAAAGCATCAAGATGCTGCTAATAGATTGTGACATTGTTGTTTTTCCCTGGTGTGGTCTTCAATTCTAAGTTACTGCCAAGTGTGCCCAAGCCCACATCCATTCCGACAACAGAAGTATCCTCCACAGAGTCCAAAACGATGGGAAGTGTTGATTCTCAGGAGTGACATCCACAGAGTCCAAAACGATGGGAAGTGTTGATTCTCAGGAGTGACAGAAGCTTTGGCAGTACTGGAATCACCAGG